TGGTGATACACTCTCGCCATGTCTCCAAATGGAAATTTCCTTGGTAGTGGCTGTGATGGATGGTTGATGTATAAAACACGATCTCCATTTAGGCAACTTATAAGTTGCCCGTTAACCCTCAATTTTTGCCGGAAAATTTCCCCTTAGACATTCACTTTCTGTGCCTGTAGATCGCTTTTGATGATCTCATCACTTACGGAAAGTGGCACATCCTTGATTAAAACTCACACATGATTTTCTTTTCGGGCCTTGGTGAATGGGTTTATGTCGTGTATAGGGGCGGCGGCTCCTCGGATCTCTAATCCGGTTGTGATCAACTTCACACGGTCAGGTTGCTTTTCCAGATAAATCCGCCACAAGTGGCGGATTTGTTGTATGCCAGTGATATTTGTTGGCGTAACAATCTTGGCTAAAGCAACATCCTCACCATTGAGTGGTTTAGTATCTCCATTCCTGACGTCTTCGGATCTGAGAAAGACGGGCTTGGGTCCCTTAGGTACATACAGCGGCCTGTTTGGGTTGGGTGTGGTTTCTCTATTAGACATTTTCCTATATTTTCTCACTTTCTTCAACTGAAATCACTTAAAAAATGAAATATTACAGCGTAATTATCGTTCAAAGTCAGTCTTACCGTTCGATTTCAATTGGATGGTCTACGTTAATGTTGATATTTCAAGATTTCTTGTCGTTTAAGCTAGAGGATGCGAAAAAACGTCTTGACGTCGATAGCGCCCTCTTTTCAAGCAAAAACTGCGGGACCAATGTAACTTCGTAAGACAGGCAGGTATAATACATTCCAAAACTTTGGTGATGTTCTATGAGTTGGAGGGGAAGGCTCCACTTCAGTTAGAAGAAGTAAAATAAGAGAAGTGGACCGTTGTTGTTTGTATTGACTTTATGTCATCACCTTACGTACACAAAATAGGTTTTAAAAATGGTAACGTAAATTCTACCTTTTAAAATAAAAAAAAGTAGACGGGCCCAACTTCCGACTAAAACTAACTTGTTTTTGTTGGCTCAACGAGGGGGGGGGGGGGAGTGGGGAGTTAGTGCTCACTACTCCCCCCTGCTTATTCGGCCGGCCGGCTAAGTCGCCGCTAAATATTTTATCACGAATTGAGCCCCCTCTTGGGCCCCCTCCCTTGCCGCCGGCTGGACCCGCCCCTGCATATTGAAATGTGTCTACTACACATCCTCCTGAAAAGTTGCTCTGAAGTTCAATTGTAACGAATAGGGTTTAGCCTACGTATCACCAAATTGCAGCCTTGTTGAATAGATATGAAATGTATTCTAGCGAGACATATCAACATGTAGAAAATGATTGCAAGAAGCCACAATCCTGATATTATTGTGATTTTTTTTATAATAAGATAGCGAATGTTGCAGGAATATCTGATGTAAAGTAGGTTATATGTTGTGATCACAACAAAAAAATATCTTAGTTTGTTTTTTGTCCCCACGCAGACAACTGAGCTACATCATTAAAAGTTATGCTCCTTTGTGTGGCTGTCAAATCAATCGTTTTTTTATATGTTTTTTTTAGGTGGACAGGTGGCGGTTTTTTCCCCTATGGTTCTTCTAAATCCATCAAAGCATTACCAATTATCTAGCGCTAAAATCTCATATAATTTTGTATAAGTGTTTTCATTGATTATAAATTATTAATTGTAAAGCGCATATAAAGGGTATATGGTCCTGAAATGAGCTATAGAAGAACAAAACATAATCATTACTCCTATCTGAATTAACCTGCAACCCAGACAACGCTCTCCCGCTATAAAGTCCGTAGACGGGGAAACCCCTTTATTGCTCCCTTCATATGACGTCATTCATAAGGTGATCTACCGCGTAGCTTAACCCCGGTCACACGGTAGGCACATGGAGTTATTAGGCTAGTATTAGGCTAGTAACTAGTAACTAGGCACCAATCCTGCAGCCGTGACCTCATGAATATTCATTAGCCGCGCGTGCAGCGCTTGTCGCTAGCGCTGCTATAGCTAGCATCCTGAAAACGTCAAGGATTGGTGCCCAAATCACGCGAGATAGGTGCCACTAAGATGATGGTGTAGCGCTGTATAGCCTAGCCTAATATAAAGTCCCAGTTTTTCCGTTTTCTAAAAAAGCAAATTAGGGGTCAGGGGTGGGAAATGGGAGGCATATATAGGCCCTACTAATTTACAGGATATGTCTTTGTGATTATGCCTGGGGCCAGCCGGGTTGGGGGGGGGGGGGGTGATGGGAGCAATATTGATAACATTGAGCGGTTTGTAAAAACTATATAAATTCTATTGGAAATTAGACCACCCCAGCAGATTTTTTGCCCATATAATGCTAAATTGGTGCCATCATTTAGGCCTCAATTATTGTGAAGGTTTTCCTTAAAAAATAAATCCTCTACGATTCATTTTTCTGTGTTAGTTTGTGATTGACATAATATTTCGCTGTACATTTTTCTAAGTTTTGTAGATTTGTATTCTTTTAAGTAAATCCGTTTCATATCTGTATTAAGCATCATTATTTTTCGTTATGTATTTAAATATGCCTTAACCGTGTCTTCTTTATTTTGTTCTTTCATTTCTGCATTGTTAAATTTTGTCATGCTTCAGTTAATTTTTTTTTCTTTGATAATTCTTTCATGTCAGGATTCTTTTTATATGAATTTGAATTGATTTCATTTCATTTGTTCATGCCCCCCCCCCCTTTTTTTTTTTTTTGCTTACCGCTTTTTTTTTTTTAGGGGGATAGGTTGTCAAAATGACCTACCTCTCCTCCTGACTGTAATTTTCTTTTTCTTTAATTTCCATCCCCCCCCCCCCCTAATATATGCAGCTCATGAGAAACACACAATAATAGGCATTTGTATAGCGCCGTCTATCTAGACAATGCTATTCCGAGGCGCACAAGAAAAATAGAAAGAATGAGAAATTTTGGACGAGAAAGTTCGGATGAGTGTCATAGTGCCAAGTACAGGTATTGTTAAGAAAGATAATATTTCAGCTTAGATTTAAAGGTCTCTAAGGAAGTTATAAATCTCAAATTAAATGGTAAATTATTCCAAAGACAAGGTGCTGCAGATAAAAAAAAAAAGCCCGTTCACCACAGGCTACTCGTGTCTTTGGGATCTTAAGAAGATGCTTGTGTGATGATCTTAGACTACGAGCTGGTGTATAAGGCATAACAAGGTTTCGTAAATAATTTGGTGCTAATCCGTTTACAGCCTTCCATGTGAGGAAAAAGAATTTCAGCCCTTCACAATTATGTAAGCATTTAAAATATCACAGGATAACACATCTTACAACAATAACACAATATGGCACCAATCCAGCATTAGATGGGCACCAAACCTGCATGTCATCAATTTCAGCCCTCCACAATTATGTAAGCATTTAAAATATCACAGGATAACACATCTAATACAACAATAACCCAATATGGCACCAATCCAGCATTAGATGGGCACCAAACATGCTTGAATATTCATAAACGGCTGCAGGTCCCACATCGCTGCGACCTTACGAAGATCATGCCTCGAACCCCCATCTGAAAAAGTGGTCGTTTCAACTATGTTGACGCTACGACGTACAGAAGCATAATACGTTGTTACTTGTTATACAGACCTATGCTACGTTTACACTATGTTCCCGGCGGCCACGGCATCCCCGCTTGCCCGAAACGTAGTGCGCCGTTGGATTTTGGCAATATTTTTTCTCTGTGTTCAAGTTTTGTTAGGTCTTGTCAAGTTTTCTCACGGTCTCTCACGATATCCGTGACGGGTCGTGCGGGGAAAGGGGCTGCTGAGTCCCGGAGGGTCCAAGGCGCACTACGGTTCGGCCCGGGTCCACCAAGGACGCCAGTACATTCCCTCCCGGCCCGTCACGTTCTGATGGGGTCCCTCACGTTTCTCACGTTCTGATCAAGGTCTGACACGTTTTTCACGTTCTGTCAAGGCTTTCTACGGATGAAACGTGGACACCGGGGAGCTTTGGAGCACGGTTGTGCCCACGGAATAAAAAGAATGCCGCCCAAGCAATAAAGTACAACGTAGGCGGGGTGAACGGCGAAGATCTTCAGGCTGTTCCTACTCCTCTACTACTGGTGGTGGTGCTGGTGCAGGACGGAGGGCCTTCGAACGTCTTGCTTCTTCGATGGCTTGACCTTCTTTCTTCGTATTGTAGATGCAGTAATGTGTCGTCGATTGCATGCTCAGACTCGAATGAAGCTCCTGCCGCGCCCGTCTTTTATATACTACCTCTCGACCGTGTGCGCCGTGTCAGAACGCAACGCGCCGCGCCCGTAAACCGTCAGACGCCGGGATGCGCCGTGATTAAACGCGACAAAACGGCTACCATACACCCTGGCCTGCCGTTAGAACCGTGGCAAACCTTGGCAAAACGGGACGTCTACGTGGGGCTGATGAGACCGTGGCTTAACTAAGAGATTTGTAATATAACCGATGCTTGACGTCGTTAAGTTACATCAGTTGATCTATAAACAACTTACTTTTTTACGCACAGCTTCAGAATAGAACACTTGTCTTTTAACTCTTTTTTTTCTGCCACATTGTGGCCGGGACTATATACTATCCTAGTTCAGAATATATTCATCGAACAAATAATAAACACATAAATACATCAAATAATGAGGACTGCACACACAGTGTATTCTTTTTTTAAAATTTCTATTCAGTGATCATTTATGAAATACTTTCCATATTTAGTGATGTATTTGCCTGTGTATTGTTGTACTTTATCTTGATTTTATCGCCCTCCTTAATATTCTTTTATTGAACATTTCTCATGGACACACACTATGAACATGACTGACAAAGAAAGCGGACAAAATATACAGTTCCTCAGGTAGACAAAGGAACATCCCTCCACTGCTACTATGTAAAAATATGTAGAACATGTGTCACAGGCATATTCACCTTTTTACATAACAGCAGTGGAGTGATCTTCCTTTGTCTATTTGTCCGCTTTCTTTGTCCGTCATATTCATAGTGACAGCGAACTGTCCCCCTCTTGACGATTTTGACGACGGAGTCCGCTCTGGAGATTCACCCCCTTTCTACCACAATGAACAGGTGTCATACACGTGTAACAATGGTTTCACGTTGGTTGGCTCCTCATCCCTCACGTGTGATGACGGAGCTTGGAATGACGATCAACCAGTCTGCTTAGGTAAGTTTACTGGGTGTTAAACTTGGGTGCTAAAGTTGTGTTATGAAAATGGTAGGTTCTTAATAAACCAATACACCGGGTACTATACGTGTGTGTTTAAATGTATTATCAAAGTTGTAGGTTCTTAAGAAAGCTAATGCAATGGGTGTTAACCCTATTTAGCCCGGGCTATTTTGAAACTGCATAGCCCGGGGGGGGGGGGGGGGGGCTTCTAAGGCCCCCCCCCTATGATCTCGGCCGTGAAACGCCCGATCGCCGCGAAAATTTGCATACATGTCAAGTGAAGTGTATAGAATACTATGGTAATTTCAATTTTTTTGAAAAATTCACTCATTTGCATATTTATGGTAATTTATGCAAATAAGGTCATTAAATTCACATTTTTGCCCATAAATCAGACATTATTCATATTTAAGCATTCTTTCTCACTACATATATTTGTTAGACCATTTGGAATAATAATACAACACAAAAATTTGAAAAACCAGGGTTATTCCTTATGTTATCTATTGTTTTGATAATTTCTTTTGTATTTCTTTGTTTTTTTAACTTATGTATTTTATTGTTTTTGTTGTTTTATTTCATTTCCAACTATAATTCAACTATTTTGACCCCAAAATAAACACCTAAAATCTAAACAAGACCAAATAACCAATGTTTTACCTCTTTATTTGAAAAATGAGATTTCCATATGTTTTGTACACAAATCACAAAAATGAGCGATTTTCGGGCTGACATGCGAAGACAAAAGGACACGTGCCTTTGTAATGGTAGGTCCGATTTTCAAAAAATTTCTTTCAAAAGTTGCGCAAGACTCGAAAGAAAAAAGTCACAAAATTTCAGGGCAAGATTTTCTTGCGTTAAAAAATTATCGCGAAAAATGTCGAGGGGGGGCTTCTCAAGCCCCCCCCCGGGCTAAATAGGGTTAAGATGAAATCTGAAGATAAAATATGACAAAGGAACAATTGAGGGAATATTATATGATACAACACAAATACCTAGAAAAAATACAGTTCACCTATGGTATATCCAATACATGTCACAAAATTTCATTGTAATATTTGCAGTGGTCATTTTTTAGAAAGCCTTTTGAAATGTGCTTTATTATTTAGAAAATTTATCGGCAGTGATGTTGGAACGACATTTGCGTCTGACACGCACATTGAAGGGATTCCTTCTCTTCAAATATAACTTGGATGGTATGTTTTAATTGGGTGGGGTGGGGGGGGGGCTTCAGAGGGTACATGACTGTACTTTAAGCACCTACCATCTGAAATTTCCAAAATAATCGGCATATGGATTAGTTGTAAAAATACAGTTAAAACGTTTTTAATAGGACATAACACTTAATAGGTACTCCAATTATTCACAATCCATAACAACAACTAAAAGACAACGTTTCGTGATAGATATTTATGTGACACTGACAATCACATTCAAAGAACATTTAGAAATACTTTCCTGATTTAAACATTGAACTTGGCAGTTAATATAATTAAATTAATTATTTAATATAATATTTGTTTTCTTCAGCAAATTGCGTTGTGAGTGCTGTACCGGATTCAGATTATTCATCGGGGGGTTCAGTCACGCATGGTACGACTTTCAACGTAACGTGTGACTCTGGCTTTTCCACGGGTACGACAAGGGCCACAGAGTTCTCCTGTAATGATGGTGTCCTGTCTCCTGTTACACTACCTACATGTTACGGTAAGATCAATGGTTTGTTAACTGTTTCTAAAGACTTAGTGTCATTCGCAAATGCTAGACTTTACCTATGGATTAAATTGCCGTTAGATATCACCGCCGAAAGACATCACTGTAAGACACTGTAAACGTACTACAAGGTTTTTTCCGCCCAACTTCGTAAACTTAGCATCTGAATTAACGTTACGTTCATCCAAGTTCGTGCGAAACTGAATGACTATGTAGATCAACATTCAAAAAGCTAATTGCGTCGTTCAATTTGATTTAGTAGCATGCGATTTCATACTCTCGTCACGGAGACGTGCAAAATGAGCATTCAATTTAGAAAAGCGTGCAAAGAGCATTCAAATTCGCGCCGGACAGACGGTGGTATGTATTCGAGCATTCAATTTCGTGATTAGGCATACATAATTATGTGACATTTGTGCATTGCTTTTCATTTGATGTTAATTTGTCACTTCCATTTTAATAATTCAATGCTAAGTCTACTTGTAGGAATGACATGCGTATTCGTTAGAAGATATCTGTCATTACACGGGTTACTGTCCCCAGAGAAGGTGCACAATTTGTGACTTCAAATTTGTTGAATTTAAACATGGACATGATGGAAACAAAATACAATGATGAATAAAGAAAAAGATGTAACACGAAAAGAAAGAAAGATCAAGATTATTAAAAATAAACCATTTAAAAAATAACCTCATTTATAATGACAAATAATTATGAAGACATTTATAAAGAAATGTTTCAACAAAAAAAAAGATCGAACGAAAGAGAAAACAAAATAAGAAAAGCAATATAAATCTATCAGACAAATGAGAAGATTATATAATGTGAAATTATGTCAGAAAAGATTATAGATAAAAAAAATGAACATAAAAAAGTTATTTTTCGTATAAACATCGAGCCTCAAATAATGATTATAAGGTCTAGTTTTAATTTGAATGACCCGATTGCGAAAGAGGTTGCCCATAGACGAAAATGAAACCGCAATTCGCCAAAGAATTCTCCTCCCACTCAACATTAGGGACTTTTAGATTTGCCTGTCGACAGCTTTGACTGCAACGTGTGACGTCATTTTAAGGCACTGCTAGAACAGGTGTCACATGCATATTCACCTGTTCTACACATTTTTACATAAGAGCAGTGAAGGGATGTTCTTTCGTCTACCACAGCAATAGGCCATTTTCGTAATGTAACCAAATTTAATGCATACGTCTTTGTGAAGTGTCACAATACAAATTATTTCCTTCACCTGATAAGAATAATAGTTGTTGTTGTCAGGTTGGAAAACATTATGGCTTGACCTACCTAGCAATACTTAATATATGCAGTTGCATTCTGACTATTGAAATACTATTATTCCTATCAGGTGAATTAAATAATTTGTATTGAGGCACTTCATAAAAATTTATGCATTAAATTTGGTTACATCACGAAAATGGCCTATTGTTGAGGGTAGAATGAGGAACTGTATATTTTGTCCTCTTTCTTTGTACGTCATGTTCAATCATTGTGTTACTTCCTGCATGCATGTATATTGTCGAGTGCAATCTAAAAGATTTCTAATTGTAGTCAACATGGGCAGTTGAGTACGTTGACACGCATGATCAGTCGGCATTCGTCGTGTTCTCGTCCACTCAATCTAAAAGTCCCTATTGGCGACATTGAACGACGCTTATGGCACTGGTTTTTTTTTTTAACTATGACCAAATACCTAAATGGCCTTTTGAGAGCCTGAAACTTTCCAAAGATAAAGAATTAGTAATCAGTAACAACTTTTTCTTGTAGCATGGACCTAGGTTAACCTCCCATAGCTTAACGAAAAATTTTCATCGTTGCTTTATGCGCATGAGATATCCCTGAACAGCAAATTGTTTACGGAATTTTGTAACAAAATTGACATGCCATTTTGGTCGGAGCTGAAAAAAATATATAGCCACAACAATATGTTTTTTTTCTATTGATGATTAATGAGCATGAGTGGATCTTAAAGAAACTTAACAGTAATCTGAATCAACTCCCCTATTTTAATGGAAAAGTGCAATTGAAAATGGCGTTTCGGACGTTACATTTTCCGTAAACAATGTAGACCCTTATTTAACCCACTAGAACAACAAATTAATGAGATTGCATATGGTTTGAGTGAGTTTATTAGTTGCTCCAAGTGATTATATTAAAAGAAAATATAATTTAATTATAGTAGCGCTTATATTACAAATATACTCAAAATTTGAAAAAGTTGTCTCATTTTCCGTAAACAGTTTTGTAACGTCCGAAACAATTTTCAAGTTGAAGTAGCAGAAAATATATGAACAGCAGGATATATCTATCATAACATTTTGTTAACATCTCATGGCAGCTACCCACCAAAACAAAGAAATTTGCAATACATTACTACAATACTATTTTATAGTTAAAACCAATTTTCCGTTAACAGTTGTAACGTCCGAAACAAATGTAACGTCCGAAACAAAAAATACCAATAAAATGATAATAATCCATATTTTAAGGTATCTATAGTGAATAAATTATTATGAAATAAGTTATTATAAGTCTTAACACAAGTCAAAACACAAATCAGGTCTTTCAAATCCATTTATTTGTTGTAATCACAAGAATGGTGTTTCGGACGTTACACAATTATATTGTTAACACAAAGTCGACAAATTTCACCTAATTTTCGATCATATCTGCAAGTTACCATTTCACAATGGACACTCCTGTTAAAAACACTATTTTGATGATTTTATTCAGATTTAAATATAAAAATGTGTAGAAATATGATGCCAAAAATCAAATAATCCATAAAATATCTAATTTTGCCTCCAAAATTGACTTATAAAACATGAAATATTGAAGCCACACTTTGTGATGCAAAGCATGGCTGGCTGCTTCAGTATATCCTTAATTGTAATTTATCAGAAAAAATCTCAACAAAAGTGACTCGTAACAAATATTCAGCCACTTTAACAGCACTTTCTGGTATGCTGTTAGCACGTTTCGGACGTTACATTAAACTGTTAACAGACATTTTCATACTTTAACTAGTTCAAATGAGGGGCAATGATAGATGTGAGAATAGCAAATTTCATTTGTTCAACTTCTCCTTTTGCTATTTACATTGGTGTGTGTTTGCAAATCATGAGGTTTTCATTTTTATAGAGGTTGTTCAAAATGATGTCATATAACCAAAGATTGTATGGTCAATTTACACTATCTGGTAGGTTACAAAAATCAAAATCACCCACTTAAGCAATACCCAGTGTGCATGGTCATGACATGGATATGATACAGGTATATGAAGTTGATAAAATCAAGCAAATTAAAATGTTTTTCTAAAAATTTATGAGAAATATGTATTTTCATCTGAAAATACATTTTTAAAAGGGCACTCAGTACATGTAACTAATCTATGTAGAAAGGATTACTACTGCCATTATCCAAAACTGGAATTGGCATTTACGCTTAATAATGATAACAATTTATCAAGCAATTTTATGAAATTGGCTTACACACTACATGACACACTCATTGGTTGCATACATGTACAATTGATGAGCACAAAGGCTTTCATTATAAAACAATAATCAGTAATCAGTATCCGATACCTATTATAGAAACTTGTACAACATAATGTTGACATATAGATGTAGATCTGCCAAATTTCCAAATGACAAGAAAATGGATTACCAATTTGTGGGGGTAATTAAAGAATGAACATGAAAATAAGGTGTAGCCTCTTCAAAATTAATTAATTCATAATTTTTTCCTTTCATTGGATGAATTACCCTCAAATGAACTAGCCTTATGTACAAATACTTTTCAAATGCTTGACCCTCATAACAAAATGTGCATGTTAATGATCATTTCATGATCCTAAAGATATAGTAACTTCTTCAAATTTATGCAAAAATATCGGGATGTACAATGAATTAGGATTCCCATATTTCTTATTGCGTAAATGACTGGGGATACTTTTGTATACTTTTATTTGTTAAAAGTATTTTTGTAATGTTTTGCTTACCCTGTACACACTGTACATGTATGTGATAGTGATAGTATTGAATGACACACTACATGAATCTAGTTTAAGGCAAAGTACAAAGCAAGCCGATTAAACATCTATGTTGTAAAGTTTGAAGAAATTGATGATCTGATTGAAATGTTCACATCTTGTAACATCCGAAACAAACTATAGCATATATTGTACACTGTTGTTCATAACCTGCAAAATAGAGTATGTTTGTATAAAGTGAAATTTCTAGGAGTTGTGATGACTACAATTGCTATTAGCTCCATATTTCACTTTGTTAGAACACATAAGCATTTTTAACTACACGTTCCTGAAATGAACAGTTTACCTTACATAAATTGAGTAGTCGATGAAGACAAACTAGGTATATGTGCAAAACTAATTAAAACTGCACAAGTTTTTCAATAAATGTTAAAGAAATATTTTTCTGCAAACAATTAATGTTACTTAGGTCAATAATACCTAAAGAAAAGCAATTAACTTGAATAAAGTTATGATGTTAACAGTGTGTAACGTCCGAAACACCAGTGGTGTGACATATGAAAATTATTAGGCAATGCACTGGTTCCCCAATTTTTTGGGATGTATTTAACTTATATCATCAGTTGTTATAATAAAATAAGTTTGACCTAAGAAAAAAGCATTTTACCTATTGAAATAAAAACTTGTTATTGTCAAAATCCTAATTTGGAGCTATTTTTCACTTTCAAGGGACACAAAATCTGTATTTTTCAAGATAGAAACTCAAAAATTTGCATGAATAATCTCTGAAAGATATTCTTAAAGACCAACATATTTGTTTGTGAAGTTAATAGCAAATGAGTTTTATATCACAGTTATTAGATATGCTATAGTTCACAATAAAATTGTAAAAACTCAAAGTATTCATATCTGGTGAATAAATAAGGAGATAGATTAAGGTCCAAAATTTGCATTTCTCAAAAATATGAATAGTCCTAATCCTAAA